AGAACTGCTGAATGCCCACAGCTCCAAGCGAATTCAATGGGTACTTGGCTTTGAACATAAACAGTTCTCTACAATGTGAAGAACTCTGACAAACTGAGTCCTAGAAGTCTCAAACTGAGCAATCAAAATTATATGCTTGAGTTTTCTGGCTTTAAAATGGGGATAATACCAACCCCGACTTACTTCAGTGTAGATGAAAATAAATTAATTCATTTATAAGCAAGATAAATTAATTAGAAAACACTCCGATGCAATGGTAGTGACAAATATGTGAGTGAATTAGTAGTTACATCCTGAGAGTACAGTCTCAGAAAAGTGCAGTGAATAGCAGACAGGGCCACACATGGGACAATGAGGAAAACAGAAGAAATTCATTAGTTGCTTATGCAGTGATTAGTCTGCCCTGTGCAATGGATTACTTTGTTATCCCACGGAAAAACATGTGATCAGAAAATGAAGGATTGCCTTGTAACGAAAATGCAAGAGAGAACTGAGTTAAGTTAGCCTGCTTAAAATTCTGGCATTTCCTAACTTTTGAATTCACTTAACAGAGTTTTTATGTGTTCAATAGGTATTATGATAACTGCTAAGTAAATAATTCATGCTAAATTCTAACTAAATAATAGACACTAAACCTAAAAATATAACTTTAAATATGACTTAATCTTGTTTTCTTTGCTTAGGCAAAACTTGAAAGAGGTAGAGAGAATGGCATGAGACAGGAATGGAGTCTCAAGTTTAAGTGATTGGTTTTTTCTTCCTGGTCTCTATTAGGTAGGCTTGACTGCAGATGCTTGAGAAAGGCAGAGGAGATGGGGGAATTCAGGAATACTTTCCTAACACAAGTGAAAACATTTAAAGGGTTAGAGCAGCAAAGTATGTGCTTAAAGTATTATTCATGCTGCCCCAAGAGTCTTGTCTGTGTTTTGTTTATGCAATTACATTTCCTCAAACGTCTACCACTTGACCCATCCCAATCCAAAATCCAGGTCCAAATCTGAGTTTCTGTTGGGGTTATGTGCCCATGTCTTACTCTGCTTATACTTACATGTCTTCCCTGATCTCATTTATATCCCTTCCCCTTGCATATCACATAGCAGCAGATACCAGCATGATCTAAACTGATAGTTTCAAAATGTTATTTTTGATTGGGTGGGAAATTGTAAATTTTGTACCTATTGTTTGCATCTAGCGACTAGATTAGCTGAGACTAGAGAGCAATCTTACTTCAGCAGCTATCTCATGCTTGCTTTCTTATCTTTTCCATGCTTTACATCAAGGTTTGTTTTTTTTCATCAAGGTATGTACTGAACTCAAGAAATGCTATTTAAGGCACTCATGTAAGGTAAAGACAATACTGCTTAGCATGGCAGCATGAGCTATCCATTCATATTTCCTTGTAACTTGTGAACATCTTTCCATGTTAACCATAGTACCACCTCAGGATAGTACCACTATCTCATAGCACTAACGAATGCTATAGTTCTTCCACATACAGAGTTGCAGTCGAGCATATGGTGCAGGAAGACAGATCAAAGCTAAGTCTCACAATTCTCTAACTTTCATTGCTCACAATTGTCACTCCAAAGAACTGAAAGGAATTGTAAAGAATGCATTTTAAGTAGGGGAATAACTAAGTAAACACTAAAAAGCATAGTAAAATGAGAAAATGCATTAAGCTGATAACAGTGATACAAACCTGGGGAAAATTATGCAAGCATTAGGGATACGCAAATTGTTTTCTCTTCCTTCCGATCTATGTCTGAGAAACTACAGACCTTTACTGGTTGTGTAATCAGAAGTATTTCATGAGGCTAATCGCATGAGAATTTTCTGTTCTAACTAGCAAACTCAAACGTTCAGAAAAATATTGAATGGGAATTGAAACATTTAGATGAAATTCCAGAAGTTCTGACTTTTGTCCATCCCTGTCACCTAATGAATACACAAAAGGGAATACTACGTCAACAGACTTATGTATAGAGCCAGCCTATATGGGATTTCTAGAGATTTCAACACACGTCCCAAGCAGGATCAGCTCCTTCTGCAGCAGCTCTCTAGACAGTGTTTCTAATTTCTGATACAACTATACACAATTTGCAGTCAAATAAATATTTATGAAGAAAATATTTGTTCTTTATATCTTACTTGAGTTCTTGTGAGCTTGTGGCCAGCATACTTCGAATGCTTTTGTCAGCCAAGGGACAGCCAGATAAACTGTAAGACATGGCAGGACATACAAGTAAGTTAATCTTCTTATTAACTGAACGCTCCCAAACAAACACAACATAAAAATTAAAAAGTAAAAGTTTGTAATGCAGAAAAGCGATGGGGCAAGTGCTGTAATATTGAATTTTGTAATATAGTTAACCCTCTGAATATATTTAGGTATCAACATTACTTCCAAAATTACATACTGTAAATGTTCTTTTTGTTTGTTTGTTTCTCTATGAACTAGTAAAATGTAACAAAAATTATTTGAGATTCCTGGGTTAACTACTTAAATGCTTAAGAATACTTTGGAAATTTTAGTAATCTATTTAAAAATAAAAGACGTTTATACAACACACAAATTAGCATGCTTTTAAGATCAACATATATTACTCAAAGGGTTAACACATAGTTCAACGTTTTACTTTGACAGCATTGTTGAGGTAAGCTGAAAACAATAAATTGAAAAGACAGAATCCACCATGAAAAAAATGAAGTCACACCTTCTATGTGAGGCGTAATTACCAGTCACATGACCACTCCCATCACACCCTGGTGTTGGACATCTGCCACCAAACAAAAACAAAAACAGCCAAAATAGTAAGTATGTTTAAAAAAAAACTTTTAAAAGTTTCATTGTTTCCAGTTTAGCTGCAATGACTGCAAGGGGTTTTAAGCATCCTAATTGAAAAGCTGCAAAATGAACAGGTTTAAATGAAAATGGCGTCTCAATACAATATAGCATCATTAAGAACAAGCAAATACACGTTAGCTTATCACTTTACTTAACTGGCAGTTTGAAACATTTATATGCTGCAAATGTTGCATGCTCATACTGCAAGGCGTATATGTACTCGTTTGTTTAAAAAAAGACAAAGAGAGAAAAGGTTAAAAGGAGAAAAATAATTTCACCTCACATTATGCTTACGTTATTAAATCCTTTTTGCTCTCTTTGCATTGAGGGTATTTGGGTTTAGGGCTTGGGATTGTAACTTCACCAGGATACCTTCTTTCTTCAAGCGCCTCTTGGAAAGGATCCAACTCTTCTGGCTACAGGCAAATATATACGCATTAGTTTCAGCTAGGTGAGGTTACCACTTACACAAAATGACGCAAAGCAGAGTCATCAGATGTATCTCCTTTTTTTATCCTATTCTGACAGAGAACATTAATGAAATTATTTTATATTCCTTCACTTATTAAACCTTTAAGTAATACTTGGATATTTCGATGAAGACTTCACAATATGTAGAAGATATAGGTTATTTAATTAGGAAATTAAAAAAAGGGCAAAACACAGCTTTTCCTATCACTGTCATATTATTTTGCTTTAAAGAATCAGTATTCTTTTCTAAAGTCACCACAAAACAGAGGCAAGGGAAAAAAGATGACTAAATACAGTATCTTATGTATCAAAAAGCCATCTTAAATAACATTTTAACTGTTTAGAACATCTCAAAGAAGAAACAGGAGTGATCTCAACATCTACAGACAGAATCTCAATCTGGGGCAAACCTCAATAGATCTGTCTGGCAAAATATAATTATATAATTTATAATTAACTTCATTGATGCATTCAGAAATTCAAAATCATAATTTTCAGAAATGAAGTGGACGGATGCATTGAGTTAACGATTCCTGCAGATGGTGCTATGAACACCACAGTAGAAATAGGGAGTTCTGCTTACTCTGAAGAAAACATGCTATACTGCTTGTTTTACCTCACATTTCCTTGATAGTGACAGATTTCCTCCTAACTGCAGCGAAATTAATAGCAAAACTGTAATTAACATGAAAGCTAGAATGCATTCAGTGTATCTAGTGAAAATGCCACTTTGTTATACGTTTCAAAGTTACTGAAAATAGTTTTAACTAAAATTGGCAAGAGATGTGCTACACACAAATGATTAGCCTAATTTTCTGTTATAAACCAAGAAAAAAACAGAGAATAATCTCTAGAATTCTCCAAACAGCTAAATTGCATTGAGTGCAGCATTGCAAACTACACAGTGGATAAGGCTGAAGCCTGATGGACAAAGCAGTGACGTTAAAACTTGTCAGCAGATCTCTTCAGTGCCCTGGCTGTTCTAAGTTTTGAAAAGTAAAATATATTCACTAACATATTTTTTTTATTTGCCTCTTCTGTTTAAAGAGTTTGGCTGTTGTCTTGGTATTATAAACTGAAAACTAATACTTATTTCTAATATTCCTTCTTTGTATTCTTAAAACAAAGTATTTCATTAATACAGGCCCCTTCAGACACAGAGCTATCAGGAGTGTATAAGTAATCTAGGAGATTAGCTGAAATAGTTGAAAGCTTACATTATACTCTGCTGCTTTTGTTTAAATTGATTTCTAAGTAATACATGCTTTCAAATACTCAGCACATCCTTTATGGTTTTCAAATTCAGGAGAATATCTTGTCTTGAGAGCTGATTATCCCAGTATTGCACAGTTATGTCAACTTGCTTATACAAAGTAACGTAATCTGGACATAGCGAAAACATCTTTACTGCAGAAAATATTTGTTAACAAGATGATGCTGTTAGAAAACATGATTCACAGTTGTGGTTCAAATGTTGTCTTATGGAACTTAGTCACAGATCAGATGTGTGCCAGCATGATACAGTCCTAAAGATTAACCAGCAGAAAGTCCTTTTTGTAGAAAACCACCATTTTTATCACGTATTAATTTTGTTTCCTCTTTCCCTCCGAATTTCAGAAATTTAATGAATAACCAAAATTAGACTGCAATGAGAACTAATAGATGAAAAAAACATACATTAATCTCTTTGGAATCATCTTCATCTATCCTACTGGGCTTCATTTTAGTGTAGTCCACTGGCAAGTCCCAGCAGTCACCCTCATTCAGTTGGTAACACCGGTTATTCATCACAGCTTGCCGTTGCGGGGACATTGGCTCCAGTGGTGTCAAAATGGTACAGCAACCATCTCGCTGCCTCTGCTTGTTCATGCTCAGATCCAACGTCCCATTTTCATCGACTTCCATATCAGGATTCTGTCAAAATAAGAAAAATATTGTTAATTCAGCTTCACACTAGCAAACTGTTACCTCTCTGTGTTCTTCAATCTGATTGCCTAGCAGAATGATAAAACGCTTTTCCATTCCTGTATAGATTGTAAGCATTGAGCCCCCTCCCACACATAGCATGATGCTGTTACACAACATTAATGCTGTTAAAGTAGATTTCTTCCTGAATGGCTAATCTGATGTTTGGGGGAAGAGGGGAGAGTCTTCATTACCCCTCCTGCCACCCGGCACACAGGTGCAAAATTTGGAACGAAAAAGAGAAATCTCTAAAGGTATTTTCTTGTCGTCGTCTTTATGCTCTTGATTATTCTGTGAGAGGTGAGTACCTGTAAGTTAACAGCTGCATAATTCTTGTTTCCAGTCCTGACACCTGTCTGGGTGATTAGAGTAACAAAAACCAGCTAGCATTAAATAATCTTCATTTCTTTGTTTATTTAACATTACAGCCAGTGTTTCAATAGATGATGTCAGAAAATTAAACAGGGAGGTAAGGTACCAAAACAGGTCTTTTTTGACACCATTTGCCAATGAGGAATACATTCAAATTTCACAGTTCCTTCCCTCCAGATGTAAATGGATTAACATTTCATATATCTATCTTTATAATCAATAAATTTCGGTAGTGGAATAGTTGCAACAATAGTTGTGCCAATTTCTGCGGCGGCTGAGGTACTGTGAAAAATAGGGTGAGTATGGGCTCTGACTTCTTTTAGAGAAACAAACATGTCTACTATATTCGGTGACAAGAAATAAGATATCTTAAAACAAAGACAAATTTAAAAAAAGCTAAGGGCATAAGGAAATAAAAGTGCCCACAGAGAATTGTTCATCTTTTCAAAAATGAAACGCTCCGCAAGAAATTTGGTTTCAAAACTAATGTGAATGTGACTGACTCCTCGTTATGACTGGTGACTTTCTCTCCTCTGGAGTAAAAACAGAGCTGCAGAAAAGCACTGTGAATGCAAATCTCTCCTTCTGAATTACTGCCTTTTGTCAGAGCATATATTTAATTGCTGGTATCCTGCTAATTTAATTTAGAAAATACTTGTTTATCTTCTCAGATTCATTCCTTCAGTCTCAATATAGGGTGACACATTAGGAAAGAGGCCCCTTCTGGTTTTGACACAGAAGATTTTTTAGCATTTTATTCCAACTTTTTCCATTGTGTTGATATAGAGTACAACTGTATTTATTTACATGCCAGAAAGAAATTTCCCTCTTGAACAGGATTAAATAAATTGATGTAAAAAAGCAGCATTTGAAAACAAAGTCACCAGTCATTCTGGCTTAAATCATGATTATTACTATTGCTTACTGCTATGGGTTTAGTTTGGTATGAATGATCAAGGGGCTTTACACGATGAGGGGAAGAACACCTTTGTCTATATGTAGAAGAACAGAACATGTCTGCCAGCTCAAAAGCTCTTCTATAAGCACAATAAAAATGCTTCCTCTGCACTGCATCTGTCTATTTAGCCATCTAGTGGTCTCCTATAGGTAACACCATACTGTGTGCTGGTGCATGTTAAATACTCATTTCTTAACAGCTATCAGAGTCGAAACTTAATGTTTATAATGAAAAAAAAAAATCTTTTGGTAAATCTTCAATGAATGTTAATAGTGCAATCTTTTTCTTAATATATAAAGCTTGACAACAAAAGCTTTTATTTGTATCTGTGTAGCCATTTCATCACATACTGAGGCTCTATGAACATACAGAACATTAGTGACCCTGCACTACTGTTAAGCCCATTTAAAGTCACCTGCACTGGAGGATTTGTTCATTTCAAATGTATTATGCAGTGACTGAAGAACTGTGATATCACAGACAGGCAAGAAGTACATACAAGTAGCATAGATTTCTTTGTACTAGATCTTAGAACCTTAAGTCCCATTTGTGACTTTTAAATGAAGATACATTGTTACATTTTAATCCTTTCACAAAATGTATGAATCAGACTGTGTTTAGCAAAAAAACCAGTAGTGCAATTAATACCACTTGAGCAACCCAAACATCTTTTATAATTATATATCTCACTAGTAAGAGACAAATTAAAAAAAGGAGTACATGCTATCAGTATCATCAGCTTATATACCGATTGAGATTTCCTGAGATACTTGTGAGCAATTTTCATCTTTTTTTTTCCTCCCTGCTTTAGCAGAGCCACCAGATTATGTTAATTTTGAGCAAAATTAAAAAAAAAAAAAAAAAGCAAGATGTAGTAAAGCTATTCTTCTATCAATCAGGGCCACAGAGCAAGTGCAGTAAAGAGAAATCTTCATCAACAAACAGAATTACTAATTTTTACCCTCGCACAGAGATCCTGAGGCTTAGTGGAGAGGTTCTGAGGCATCTCCCTGCAGCGAGTGGAGAGATTCAGAATAGCAGTAGCAGCCATGTGTGCTGCCTCCATGTCATGAGTATAGTCAAAGCTGCTCTTGCTGCAGGTACTGCTGGCACTGCTGCCTCCACCACAACTCATATTGCTGCTGCTGCTAGGGGCATAACTGCTTGTTGTGCTGCTGGTTGGACTTGAATTCTTACAGTAGCGTTTAGCTGTGGGAAGAAATATGACAAGGATGACTCAAAAGAACGAGCATTCTGCATAAGTGAAGAGAAAAACAAACTGCTGGAGGTGAAATTTATAATGAGCAACAGTAACCGATGCAAAAAAAAAAAAAAGCCGACAGTAAGAATGATGGCTGTATTTCTTGATTTCTGGCTGTGACTTTTATATGCTACGTATGTGAGTTTGTATGAAATAGCCTCCTGTAAAAATCTGCATGACGTGATCATGAATCATTCTGACAAACAGGCTGGATTTAGAAAACAATAAAAACACAGAAACACTGCTTTTACCCCACATATATAGTCAGACAGAAGGTAGGATCTGCTCGGCTCATTCATTTTTATTAATGAGGGGCAACATAACACTACGGGACCTTTTCAAATTTACATGAGCAAACTGTTAATTTAAGGCCTAGACTCCCCAGAGCTACTGGAGATCAAGCCCACTGTAAGGCTGACAGGCTTGGTCTCTGGGCCACAGTGCTACCTATATGTCCTCAAACACCCCGTGCTTCCTAAAAGGTTTCTTCTTCCTGCATCACAGGCAAATATTACGGCACTGGCCATCAGAAAGGAGAGGAACATGATGGAAGAAGAAAGGTGGTGGTCACGTGAATTTTACCGTGGCTTGCACAAAGGCAGAAACAGTGGCTGTATAAATGGAGACAGATATAAGTGAAACGTCCCCCCCTTCAAACAACCCAAGTACCTACAACTCTTCATAAAACCAATAAGGACCAAAGACCACCCTTCCTGCCCACGCTGAGGACAGCGGCACTCAGCTGTACTCTGACCGACAGAAGCCGCGAGCGGTCACAGAAGAGGTAAGGCACTGACAAACCTCATGGCCAGCCTACCTGAATACAATGCAGCACTGGTGCTGCTTTTAAGAAATGCTCCTTGCAGCCAAAAGTATTATAGTAATAATGCAGAACAGCCCTATTAGTCCACTTATTTCTCCAACCCTCTTCCCAAATAAACTGTTCTTAAAGTATTTATATAAAATGCAAGAAAGTGTCAGCTCATCTTCTAAATCTAAAAGTTTATGTATTTTCATGAAAGTCAAGGTCAGAGGATATATACATGCATATTACAGTGACTACTTCCCCTGAAGATGGAAATGTATACTGCAGAGATCATACCATATAGCACAGTATAACAATAACCAACTAGCATGCTGATTAGAAAGCTATAGAAAAAAGGTCAGGCCCTAGCTAGAGCTCTTCCGTGATGGGCTCCATTTAAATGCCAGACTCTTCAGGTGTATTTGTCTGAGCAAACATACATCTAATAATCTGCTCCCATGAGCACAGCCCATTTGTGAACCACAGGCTGCTTTGGTAGGTAGGCAGGCAGGGTTCAAAAGAAGAATCTGAAAGCAAAATACCTCTGATAGAGCTTATGTCATCTTCCTTTCTCTAAAAAACTGAAAAGAATCGTGGCATTATTTTTACTGTAAAGGAAATAGTGTTTCACTTAATTCATAACAGATGGAGTTTTCTCAGGAAAGCCACATAATGCACAGGGTGTGATTTTTTTTAAGTGAAGTGAATGCTAAACATTCCTCACATTTCTTTGTTTTGAACATATAGTAGCACTACTCTAGCAGGGTATCCACTAATAATAAACCTGTGAACTATTTCTCAAGAGTTTCATTATTAATATAGTAGTCAGTGGTGGTCATTAAAAATTCAACATTTATCCATTGTTACTTTGTAACGGTATCCAAGACACGCAAGAATTTTCCTATACTTAAGGAAGGAAATTATTGAATAATTCAGTTTCTACTGTGTTAACACAGCAAGCACCCTGTACCACTGAACTTGTCAAATTAGAAATATCTTTCAAAATTCATATGAACAAATAAGACTTCTGTCACTTGCAAAAAATGTTAGTCTTGTTATAGCAGGTCACATTTAGACAGACATAAGAGATATACTACATGGAAAATTATATATATGAGAATGTGTGCTAAAGAAAGGGAGGAAAAGAGGCAGCTTTATACACAGGACTAACCATCAGAAACTCATGCAGGCTCTGATATGGACTCCTCTGTGGCCTTGGTCAAACTATATTATCCCTCGAATTCATTTTCCCTATAAACAGAAAGTTGCTTCTAAAATTTAGTTGTGTTGTGATTCACTTGCAAAACACTTTGAAGATGTAAAGTGCTATAAGCATGCTATGCAATTATTAGCCTTTAGATTACCAATAATTTAAGCAAAACTCACTTAGAAAGAAATGGCCATGATTATTTTAACTTTACTGTAGCTGTACATTTTAAGATGAGTCACATAACCCAGACTGTTCATTTCACATTAGCTTTTCAGGAGAAACAAAGATCATCAATTTATAATGAACTAAATCAAGTAGATCTCTAACGAAGGGAAAGATGCATTGTTTCAACACCAGATAATTCTGCTTGCTATGTCGCCCATCTCTGTGGCATCAGGTTTTGGAAACTCTGCAGTCCTCCCTACGCTTCGTGATCCGGAGTGAAACCAAATGTGGAGAACACCTTTCCCATTAAATAACAGACACAGGTCTAACCAGCTGCATACCCATGCTGGCCTCCCATCAGACATGCCTGGAGGCTGATTACAAAGAACCTCTCTTTGTACTGGCTCCTCTTGCTAATTAAATGGAGGAGTGGGAGAGATCCCAACAACATAAAGGACCAAACTAATATATTTGGAGTGGAACTAAATTCTGCCGAGGCACCCTCATCCTCAGTATTGCCTAAACACTGAATATGTTAAGTAAATTAATTACAGTTTCAGCACTGAGATTCATCTCACCTAACTTCAGATACCTGACCTAGTCATTACAGGCTTCCTCTACAGACAGTGAAAAAAAAAATAGGAACTTTCAGGCAATGATTCACCTGACCAGTTTTAAATACATACTTCAGGAGGAGATTAATTGCATCAGAGAAGTATCTATCTTTCTCCTTGGATTTGAAAGAGGTGGCAAGCTCAGATGTAGGTGTTGACATTATGGAAGTCTAGATATGGTCAGATGAATCCCACTCCTAACATTTTCTCAGTGTTTTGATGGAAGGACCCAGTCCAACTGGTGGGATGAGAGGAGCTCCTGCCATCACCTGAGCAAACAAATGGGTTGCTGACTCCTCTGCCTGCTATGTCCAACTGTTCTTATCTCTGTTGCTGTATACCATAAGCCCAACATCCAATACATTATGAAACTGCTTTCAAAGGAAAAACAAGACCACAAACACAAGATTTCTCAAGAATTATCAGAGCATCCTACTTCACAATACAAATATCCATTTTCTGTTTAGTTTTTACTAAAGCTTACTGGGAAAAAAAAATCAAGAAAACAATCCGAAGGAGCTATTTATGTTCATGTCACTCACAACCATACACTTATTGAACATGTAATCCCTTTCTCTGATGATGAAAATATGGTGCTAGCTTACAATTAAAAAAGGATTGAGACATGAAGTTATTGATTTTTCAGATGCTTAGACTATTTGTCTCATCTTATATAATCAGAAAAATTAAAGTGCTGTTTACTTGCAAGTTCCCCCAAAACTTTAGGCTTACTTTCAGGTTTTTCAGGATGACTTTTCAGAACTAAATCTGTTTTTATATAAATGTATTTGCAGACAAAGACAATAGGCGTGCACTCTGTACCTCCATAATGGCTTTAGCAGCAATAATTAATAATTTTTTTTTTACAGAAATATGCAATCAATCACCTAGAAATACTGCAAAGTTTCTTGAGGAAAAGTGGCTCTTGTAAGTGAAGGACATAAAGGACCAAACTAAGATATCTGGAGTGGAATTAAATTCTTTCCAGGCACCCTCATCCTCAGTATTGCCTAAACACTGAATATGTTAAGTAAATTAATTACAGTTTCAACACTTCCTGAAATCTCTTTCATATTCAGTTATTTACAATAACTGTCAGCAAAATCCTTGTCCCATTGAAAGTCAGTGCCAAAACTTTGACTGATTTCAGTGTGCCCAGGATTTCACTTCATCGTTCTATGAATTTAGCTGATTTTCCCGAGGAACTTCAAAACCCGTCGCCAATTTAAGCCCAATAGGATGGAGTGCTTATGGAATATCAAAGACATATGAATCCTAAAGGTTTCATGAAAATCAGTGATAGGGTACGAAGAAAACTTCAAATTAGGTCCCATCTCTGGGACCATGTCAGTATGTCTGTCTGGCCAAACAGCACACACATCACTTGGAATCAGGTACGGTGTGTGCCACCTCCTGCAGAGCCAGGGGTATGGAACAAATACATAGGGAATTAGCCTTCGTTTGGCAAACAACCTGCTCCAGCTACAATGGGCTTCAGCTGTTCTGAGTACACAAGAACCATGTATAGTTGCTGTACCAGCATGAATCACATGTATACAGTGTCCCTCAGTCCTCTCTGGCTCACATTACTGAGCAGTGAAGCAACCTAGTCCCAATCTTATCTCCAAGTAAAAGTCGTATTTATATCAAAGGAAGATGAATGTGCATAAAGACAGTGACCTATATCACCCTAGTCTTTCATTATTTAAGGCCACTGTTAAACTTCTGTTTAGTGTTACGTGTATTTTCAAGTTCTGGTGATTTGGGAAAAAAAGTGGAGTTTGCAATTATTTGCTGAAAAGGGGTCTTAAATGAGAAAAACATATTAGTTACTTAAGCATCAGTAATTTGATCTGAAAATACGCATGTCCACGGGATCCCCAGCAATACTCAGATTCTTTCCTTTCTGCAAGAGTAGACAGAGCATATACATAACAGTTAATATCTCATTTACCTTATATTAATGTACGCTCCTTAGCTTACTAACCACAGTTAGAGTTAGTGCTTTACCTTTAATAATGTTCAAGCCTTTATTCTGATACAGGCAAACAAGATGAATGTATGAGAGAAGAAAAAAGGCCGCTTTTACTCAAAAATATATTGCCTTTCACAACCTTTCTCCTTTATGCTATAGTGCAAGAACATGCCTTTTGATTCTATGAGAAAGTAAAATATCCAAAATATCAGAAATATGAAGGCAAGAGCTGTAGCAATTTTCCCTTTCTCCACTTACCTACTTTTGAATGTCAGAGTCTGTGTTCAGGCAACAGCATAAATTGTTCTATTTAGTATATTTATTTCTGTTTCCTAAACAAAAATCTGACACCTGCCTGAAATTTCCTATGGTAGTCAGTGAGTAGTATCAAATATTTCAACCAAAAAATAAATTGTTAACATGCAAAAAAAGAAAAAAAAGAAAAGAACAGAAAAGATAAAGGCACAGTTTGTTTTTTATATATATATATATATACACACACATGTAATATATATATATACATATAAATGTATTGCTCTGAAAAATTTCTGATGTCCTCAAAAGCTACAATCCAAATCCTTATTCTTTATCCTCCAGTTCATTTTTGTCCCCTAATAAAAATCCTCTTGCCTGACAGACCCCATCCATCGCCTTCTCCTGAACTGAAGCCACTTTCAGCCTACTCCTAAACATGTTACTTTTGTTAGGTTTTCTAGAGAATTCAACAGGTGTAGTCATGAGGACAAAATGAGCAAAAACGCCTCATTAAGTAAGTAGCAGTGATATCTGAAGTGCAATGAGATCCAGGTTTTCTACTTCCATATCCCCACGGAGCAAGTATGTTATCTTTATGGGTTACCTGAACTACCGTACGGAAGCGAGAATCCTGATGTGACCCTTGAGGCCAGGTCTCCCAGATGGTAGCAACATAAGGACTAGCTCTATTACTTAGCTTTTATTGCGATCTCAACACATCCCAGGAGCTTAATAGCTGGAGGTGTTCTTTTGCCAGTGCAACAATCCTGAAGCAAGCACCGTATAAAACAACGCTTTTTAAAAAGGCCTTTAAAATAACTTACACATGACAGCATTCCTCATAATACTATATGAACATGAAAACATGTCTTATTTGTATGATGTTTACATATACAACAACATGATTAACTGCAAACTTGTCTCTCGTATAAGAGTGTGCACCTCCTACCATCATATCCTTTGGGGGATATATCCCTGGATTGCACCTTGGGAGCTATGGCTCTCTTGCCATAGGCATGGTTGTCATAACTGTTATATTCAAACGTAGTCTTAGAGTATTTCTCTAGTTCCTTGGCCAAGTTGGAGCGGGGTGTGGTGGTGGGGACATTGTTTCTGTAGCCATACTGAGGGATCTCCAATTGCTTAACAAAGCACATGGGCCTAGAAATTAAAGATATGTAAAGTTTGTTAGATGCAGTTCAGTTTACTCTGTCTGTGCATAATTTATAGTTCAGATTAGAAAATCTTAGTTATTTCTTGTACTCAAGAGACAGCAATATATTATTGCATTTGCTTAGTTTGGTTATTTTCAGCAGACAAACAATATATATTTTCTTGAACAAAGCCTAGACAAAATTAATTCTAATACTACTAAATGTACCCTGTAGCTAAAAGTATTTTAAAATTCTGTTTTAAAATACTTCAGGGTTTCCCTTTCCCCATGTAATTGTATCACATCGCAAACATTTTCTCTTTTGGGAGGTGAACTAAAGAGGGGCAAGCAAAATGACAGAAGAAGTTTGGACAAATTCCTTTAAATGTCAAAAAGAAAAAATAGCACTGGAAGCTCCACTTAATTAATGGAGTTTCCTCTGAATTTCTTTCAACAGAGTTGTATGCTGTTTTCCTGCATGCTTTCCAAAGGAGCTAGTCTTGTTTCATCCCTGAATATACAAATCCATGTTCATCTTGAGAAATACACAGGAGAGTCTCACAGTCTTTGTTGACTTTTAGCTGCTGCCCCGCAGATCCTGCTCACCCTTAAATGCAAGGTTCTTGCAGGAGCTGCGATTCCTGATACACAGATACACACCTCAAGGAAGGTCCTGCGAATGAATACAGAATAAAACTGTATCAGCTATATTTCCCTTGCATTTAGGATCAGGGAGGATAGTCAGGAGAAGCCCCGACTGATCTCATTCAGCCATTGGAGAAAATTGTGAAATCTTAGTGAAAGAATGCTGTAGTGAACTCCTCCACTGTCATGCTGTCTTCTGCATGTGGACACAGAAGTCATCAGCTCTCAAAGCAGGTAAATGAAGGGCAGATCCTGCAAACCTTACCTATATAAGAAAGTGTTACATGACTGGGTCATAGGGAGCAAATGCTACACAGTGCTGCATGTCTACCTACTGAGTTTAGCAGGAGGTAAAGATGATGAATAGCACACCTGAGGTGCTTCTGCTGGAATCAAGAATCATATAATCAAGTCTTTTTTCTTTTTCTTTTTTTTTTTTTTTTTTACTGCATTTATAACCAGAGGAAATGGAAGGAACATTCATAGGAACATAAATTCAGTGAAGACCAGAAGTATCATCAAGCTGACTGACAAAATGGAATGTGATAAATAGTAAGAAATAGATTTTGAATAGTATGTTTTTCTGAATGAATTCATTTTCATAGAATTTAGTCAGGATATTTATGTAAATCCCAAGAAATGTAAATGTAAACCCAAGAAATCATATTAGTCATACTATTCCCTTTGATTTATGTATGCTCATTCCTTTAGACACTTCTTCCTCACAAAATACAGTGGGCTTATTTATACAGTGAGCTGATGTGAATAATATTTTGATCCTGTCTCAAGATAATCTACATATAGCTAAAAAAGTGTGATTCAGATCCTGTACATTCGATGCAAATCCAAAATTTCTGTGGAACATAAGTCCTATGATTTCTTTTTAAGTAAGAAATTTTAAATGCAGGTGGGATGGAAACTGGGATGAAGACAAATATTCAAGATTTACTCTTAGAACATGTCTCTCTGCCCATCAGTTGCCTGCATGCAAATATTATAAATAGCTCCCAAGTTCTTCATCTTAAATACTTCAATGACTTAAAGGTAAAAGGGAATCAGAAGACAAGATGAAAGCATTATTTGAGTTGTCTATAAAATCTGAAACACAGGGCAGGCTCACAAGCAAAGTTAAGATTGCAGCACAACTTCCTAGGGAGTTTGCCAGCAAACCAGATGCTGCTTTTGAGCAGTTGTCTTCTTTGTACGGCATCTGACTTCAGTGGCTTCCCTCTAATGAACAGTGGTAAAAGCTACTCCATTTTTGATCTGTCTTTTTCCATCAAGTGAGAAACTGTGTTCTTTTCTCAAAGGGTGTTTTTTTGTTAATAGATTTTGAAGAACCCTTGTCTAAGAAGACTGTCTGGGATACTGTATGAAAAATTGTACAATCTGAATTAGGAGCAGTTAAGATAAAGTGCATCAAAAACAATCTGAGGAAGGAAAATAAAGTCAACAGGCAAAACAAAAAATCTTCTGTAGATGTGAACCGTAATTCTGTGTTCTTAGCTCTGTGGAAAGACTGGTTTTTGAAAAGACCATCAAGATCAGATGAAGTTTTAAGAGAATATTCAAAGAATGATGTTGATAATACAGTAGAAAACTTTCATTTTAAGCAGCCCTATCAGATTTTAAATCTAGAAGACAGCTAAATACTAAGAAACCTATGGGATAAGTAGGAAACTCTGGGAACTAAAGCTGCGGCACTTCCTCCACGCATTTTGAGGCAGCTGGGAGGGATGTACCTATCCCAGCCCACAGATACCGCAGTATCCATGGAGAAATTCTGCAGCTCTTGGGGCATCATCAGCATAAGGCTGGTACAATCATGCAGAAGTCTTGTTCCTTTACATGTATCCTTCACACTTCCGCTCCTTAGAAATAATATTTTTTCCACCCACATATCTCAAAAGAGGAGACAATAGCACAAAGCTGGATACAGCTTTGGATAAATGCAGAATCGTATATGGATGAAGATAAGGGGTATAATTATGTCAGACTGGTTCAAGGTCCTTCGCATATGAAAATTTAGGACAATTTTTCTCTTTCCATCCTTCCTGGCAGTGAGTGAGGGAACAGAGACAAAGAACTAAGCCTGACCTTATTTTGGAATCTAACCTATACCTGGCATTTTTCCAAGTGTCCTGCCAAAAGGTGTACTACTGGTTTGGTAATGTAAATAGGGCTTCTGGTTTAATTTAAACTGATATTTACTAGTAAAAGCCTGCTGAAAAAACCAAGACTTACCGGTAAATATTAGTTTATTCCCAAAAGATACCAACTTTTTTCACATTGTTCTTAGACTTTGCACTCCAGCAGTCATCTTTACACCAAACAATGCCTAAGACAAAAATGAGCTTTTCAGCTTTACATGTATTTGCCAAAATAATTACCAGCCCTCCCCCCTGTAAATTGAGTGGGATATATACACTGTGAGAATTGGATCCAGAAGCCCTAATTCTAACTCTTCTTTAAAGGAGATATATATGTATATACAACGTATATAAATATAAGTTCTCAGATTAGGTGAATGTGTGATGAATTCTGCATAATAATAAGTATTATAGTGATTTCTAATACCTTAAAACCCGATCTGATGCCTGGTTTGATTTTGACACATCACAGTTCTGATGCTTCTCTTGAGCTTTAGCCAGTTTCTCTGCTGCAGCAATAGGACATCCAGAGAGGCTGCAATTACAGAAAGGAAATTTAATTGTCTTGTCCTGCATAGTTTCACATTATAGCACTGATCCAATTACTCCTTCTCCTCCTTAGCCAGCATCAGGAAGAATCTGAAGGAAAAGAGTTTCCAAAAGCTTTTTGGTCATATGTATTTTTTCTAGAATAGACTTTCTTTGTTCTGCTTTCAAAGTTGCATGGTAGATCTTACATCTGCTCTTCTTCTCTGACTGTATATGGGTAGATTATTCATGGATGTCAGCCAGTGAACATACCAGAGGAGGGGAGAATATAAACTGGAATCTACTGTGCAGCTCTGCTAGCAGACTTGTGACCTTTATGCATCTACAAATATTGCCAATGAAATGGCTCCTGAAGATGATTAAATGACAACATCATATAGGCCAAATCTTGCACTGCTTCACACCTCATTCAACTCCATTAACTCCAATCTTTTTGCAAGGCATATAAATGAGTGCAAAATTTGGCCTTGGGTCTCTAAGTCTACATCTCAGCTATGTTATACTTAGTGTTTGTTCATGAATTTCAGCCACTAAAGTATGTTTTCTAATAGTAGATGATGTAACATGAAAAGAACTTCTGCACTTGAATCGAAATTCAATTAAATTTGCACATGCTAAACTATTATTTAAGTGACAATAATAAGCCTGATTCTTCTGGAAAAGATTTAGAACAGGGAAAAATAAATATATTGATGCCAGCAGATGGTGCTCTTAGTGAAGCTGTAAAAACCTGTGACCTGACAATGGAGGGGGTCCTTTCCTTGTCATAGTCTATTGCGTGCTTATGTGACCGCAGCTCTCTGTGTTCTCCACAGGAAAAGAAATTAAAATGAAAGGCAAATCAGTGCATTCCCAGATGTTCCCTTCTCTACAGGAAATAAGGGGGAAAAAAAAGAATAAAAAAAGTGAAGCAGAGCAAAATGCCCCAAAAGCTGCAGAAAGAGGTGAGCACAGACTGCAGACTGGTCCCCCCAGCCCTCCCTTGCTGCCCTAGTTCTGCAGAGGGGTGAGGGGGCTCTGTGCGGTTTTGAAGTCATGCCAGAGGGCAGCTGCGCTCCACTGACATGTTCTTCTTCAGACACCTCAAATATTCTAGTAGACATTCAACCAGAAGTGAATGCTGCTTCAAGCAGCAGTAATTCCCATAAAGCCTTCTTAGAGGTTTTTGCTGCATCTACTGGCAGCATCACTGCAGAGAAGAAAGGGGTACCAGAGCTTACTGCAGATGGGTTGGTACCCACAAGAGTCTTCCAGGAGACATGCAGTTAATGTGAGGGGCTCTAGTAACCCAGAGCTTCAAAAGACTGAACATCCAGTATCTGTGTAGTCCCTTAAGCCTTCATGCTACAATTAACAGTAAAAAAAGGAATTCGATAATAGGAACCTTGCATAGTTCCTTTTACCCTCTTACCCACATTTCTTGGATTTTTTAAAATTGTAAAGAAATAAGCAAGATCTTGTTGTCCTGTGGGAGAATTATGACATGTACTAAAAATTACAGTAACATTTTGATAATTTTGTTATTTGTTTGACAGAACTTAATAGGCAATGGCATCCCTTTTGTAAGAATCTATTACTAGTCTCAGGAAACTATAGAAAAATTGCTTTTTCTCTTTTTCTTCTTTTGTTTGGCTAGAATATTTACATCTAACATTTCTGGCTTCTCATTTTTAAATTTAATGAGACATTTTCATAATGTTTCTTAAATAGGCAAAATTCTCATTTTGTTTTAGCTGAATAAGGACTTTGTGGTTGACACTGTGGTCAGTAGGAAAGCTAACTCTTACAATGTCTGTGTACTTTAAATGCCATTTCTCATGTATTAAAAAAAACATTTAAAATAATTCCTGAAGACAGTGAAGTGTGAGAACAAGAGCTCTGCCCTAGTCCTGCTGATGTTGGCAGACTCTTCCTTCTCCCTGCGACATACCCGTAAGGAGTCATACCATTCATTTCGTACAACTGCTCTTCAGCTAATATCGAAACAAAAAGAAAACAAATCCACCCAAAAAGCTAAAGGATGCTTAAAATGCCTTCTGTGGATCAATTCATCCATACTGAAGCAAACGCACACTCGTCCTCCTCAGAAAATACATGAATAAATGTTACTCTTTAAAATGGATAAAGCACACGAAGCACCATCTGTCAATCTTAAGAACAAAACAACGAAACACACACTCACACCCCCCCGGCAATGGACTGCTAGAAGGGCTGCAGTTCGGAGGCATTGTTCCCTCTAGATTGGCGTCCAGCGACGGCATCCTTACCTTCGGTGGGAATTCCTGTTGCTATTTACGTGGCCCCGGCCTGTGCAGCCTGGTGTAGGACACTTAAGAACATTTTCATGCATGGCAAGAACTTGACAAGGAGAGTAAGAGAAAACAGCAGAGTATGAAAACAAGAAAAAAAAAATCAAATCCCAGTATATATGAAACCATTTTAAAACAAAGCAGGATTCATTAACAACCAGCATTCCTCAAAATACACATGACACACATAGCCAATAAAGCCTGATGAGGGAAGTAAGTATCGTGACCCTATGCTCATTAACACAGGGTAACAGTGAAAGTTATGAAGGTTACAGAACCTATAAACAAATGCATCTCTGGTGCAACAGTGAAGCAGAAGACTTCCAATATCTTCTTCATACAAAAACACTGAGCAAAGATCAGCTCACTTCATACAAAAACACTGAGCAAAGATCAGTAAAATGTGAGCTAGCAACGGTCCAATACAAAATTACGGACTAGAAAAATTCTTTCAGAAAATGCATGCATTCATAATGCATAGCTTTATACACACAGTATCAAACTCGAGAGCTGAAATCCGCTCTCAAGTTATACTGGTGGAACACTGAATTATTTGAAACACACCTCAGTACAACCCTAAACAAAATTTAACCCTAACTATAAGACAGCCCAATTGAGTTAGGGGCCAGTTCTGCCCACTTTCACATAGATACATCATTCATATCTATATGATGAGCAGAATTGGTCCTTTAATTTTTATTTGTATTCTCTACAGATATGAAAATTGCAATGGATAGAATTTTTTCAAAAGACTAAAAACTAAAAATAAGCACTTAAAAAAATTGAGGGATGGAGGAAGAAAAAGAAAACTGTAAAAAAGAAAGAAGTGGTACAAGCTGAAGCAAGTAAACTGATTTACATCTGCATCCATTTCAAGCTGGATGGAAAACTCACTCCCAAGGATGCTCAGAGCAGTGCTCCTCTAAATCATAAAGCTCATGCTATGAAGTGCCAAATTATCAAGAACTTTTTGATAACACTAAAGAGTTTTGTATGATGTGAGACATATCTGAATCCATGTCTCAGGGCTGGATGGCAGTACATCACTCTATGGAAAAAGGCCATGCAGCCCTTGCAAAGTTCTGGTTGTGTCATACAAGAACTAATCTGGAAGCCTGTATTTAGTTCTCACTCAAAAAGAGAGCTAATAAAATCAGTTAATTCCTTGACTGAGTTAAGAACTGAATAAAAGCTGTTCAGAGACTTGAGAATTTAACCACATATACTGATTAAAAGATAACCATCATCATCACCCCATCATCAATGTACTAAAACGTGTATAGATGCAAAAGCTTTACTCTGAAATTCCCACTATTCAAAGCTGTTCTTGAAACATGCTTCACAAGGCCAACATCACAGGAAAAAAATTAAAAGATGAGCTCACCTTTTTTCATTTTAGTAGGTACAAGAGCATGCAAACAGTTTAAAGCTATATTCTTCTTTGATTTACAAAGTTTTCTAAAGAGCTTTTTATTTACCATTTGTAAAAACCAGAGAACTTTGAGCAACTGAATAAATATTTGTGTTTCAGAAAATTACAGGGTCTTGCAAAGCAGAGAAATTACTCTATTTGTTCTACTGTATTCAGAGATCAACCAAGCTATAGCAAAGTTTCCTAAAGCACTTCCTCATCACTTTACTTCTGGAAGAAGCCACTCTACCATGAAAGAGGAGACTTTTTATGTCTGCCACTCTTGGTGTGCTAATCTGCTTCTGTTTTCCTATCCATCAAAATCTACTTTCCTTTGGAAACTGGGGGACCATTTTAGCCCTGACAGTCTTTATAATGTTTCCTTTAGGCTCCTGTAAATCCATTGAGGTTACGTCTATAAGTGCTGATGGACAGTGGGGATTTTAGGTCCATAGGCTTCAATGGAATAACTAAATTTTAAAGTTGGTGTGAAAGAGAACTGGATCTTAGCTAGACGTTTGCCTGGTATAAATCAGCATAGAGCAATTAGCTTCAACAGAACTATGCTGATTCTACCAGCCAAGAAGGTGACTTCCAGAAATGGAACCCTCTGCCTTCAGGTAAACATCTCTGAGCCATATGGGTGAACCTCCTTTGCAGAGAATCTGCTGACATGGCAGGAAATTCCACCCATGTGACTGACGGGATGTTTGCTCAAAATACTGAATTGTATAACTAAGTAAACAGCCAAATTGTTATTTTTAATAATATAAACTAGTTTAATGTAAATTATGTTTCAGATACAACAACAACAAAGGAAACGGGTTGCAAGGTTTTCAAGTACAATTGCTTCTGTACAAGACAACAGGGACAGTTGATGTGACATCAGCACGCAGAAGTAAAAGCAGTGCACATCTTTCGGAAACCTTTTTCTCTGTTGACTGAATACATCTATTTAAAAATAACCTAGGGTTCTTAAAATCAAAGAATACAGCTTTAAAAGTTGTTCTTTTAGTGTAAAAGTTAGTAGAGAATGGAAATGATGGAATAAAGGAAAAAGTATAACACAGAACAGTTGACTAAGTTGAGACAAACCATACTGAAAAATGAAATTAATTTTTTAAATAAAAGGTTTAAAAAGCATGCTAGAAAAATCTTTGTAGTTTTATCCCCAGTTTCCATGAAACAATGTGAACTTACTTTCTGGAGGGACCCTATCTTTGTGTGGGCATCCTGACAAACTGCGGTGATGGGGGTAAAGCCCCGTTACATGGCCAGTTCCATCACACCCAGGGGTAGGACATTTGCTCTCTTTCTTTTCTGTTCTTGAGGGATCTATAATTTACAACAAATGTGTCAAGTGAATGATGCTTTTCACATTTCTGTAAGAAGGTTCATTTAATCATGTCATTTACTCTTTGGTAAATGTTCTTATGAAAACTAGAAGAAAAAAACCACTTCTACTTCTTAACACAGTTCTGTCACTTTTATCCCATTATCTTCTTTTCAGACTGCAGGCTCCTATGATCACAGCAATATCCATTCACAGTGATTGGAAAGTGACCTTTTTATAGCAATGCCATACCACTGTCAATCAATGCTCTGCTGGCAAACATCAGCTCAAGGGTGTAGGGTCATTTGGAAACTGTTTAGTTGGAGTTTCCCTTCTTTACATTCTTATTTGCCTGATGTATTAAGGTCTGCAAAAATTCAACGATTCAGCACAAATAAATCCCTTTTCCAAGGCTCACGGAGGAGATGACTCTTGTTTTCTTTAAATTCCTTATAAAGTGGTAGAAATTATGTAACTATTCCTTTATCTTCAATAAATTATGGTGGGGTAAATGTTGTAATCAGAATTACTGAAAGTATCACTGGCTGAGTAAATTTGGACCATTACAAACATGCATATATAATGCTTGAATATTCATATGCTTAAAAGGTTAATGAACTTTTAGAATGTTGTTGGATTTTCTGTCTACAAATCAATGAAAAGTCTAAATAGACATTTTTTCAACAAAATAAAGTTTTCTGCCAATAATGTAGTGAAACTGCTGGTGAGATGAATCCTGAACTAGAACTTTCTCACATACTTCATCAGCTTGTTTCCTTTAACAGAACATCTGTAAAATAACATCCCTACCCTTCCAGCCCAGCACATGATACAAATTACATCTTATCATCTTGACCACAGTTGCCAGATTTTGGAGACTATTGCCAATTTTCATATTAGTATTAAGGAAATAAAATTCAGGATACTGTAACTGCTACCATTTTGGCTCAAGATCAACCAACGACCTCCTTCCATTTTTTTAATCCATCCTCCTTTCAATACCCCATCTGAGCTATTGTCATTTAAGTATTTTATGCTGTTCTTGTCATTGCTTTCCTTCAGTATTTATGCTTTCATCTCTGGAAAAAAAGACTTTTCAACTTGTTTTCCATTAAGTCTTTCTTACATTAAATTCCATCCCAGCTTCCGCAAATGCAACCCTCAGTACAGTCAGTGGAAATTTCAGTGCTTGCAAAACTTCACACACAACCCATTTTTTTTCAGCATTAATCAATACAATCCAGAGGTCAGATTCAGTTGTGGACTTATTTTTCCTTGATTTCCCCCTGGTAGCTTTTAGAGAGATATATATGTATAAATATATATATATATATATATATTTACATTCCAAGTTCATCCAAAACACCTTCATTTTAGAGAAATTCTTTAGCTCATTTTAATGACTCTTCATGTCTTAAATACATTCTTAGATTTTAATATGATATTTAAACCTTGTCTTTTGCAAATGAAATCCCTAATTATGAAAGTTTTATTTTACTTAACCTGCATGCTGACTGTAGAATACAGTTCTTTTTTTCATGCTCTTTAACGATAAATACACATACAAATCTATCTCCAAAGGGCTATACAGTTATCACAACACTCCTGGAAATACTGTAGTCTTATATGTCAGGAAATTGAAACAAAGAGATCAAGAAGTTAAACCCAAGGCCACAGAAGGAGCAAATGTCAGAGGAGGGATTTGAATTCCTGCCAGATAGGCCTGTGCTGAGACCACTAGAACAGCAAGCCCACAGCTACATACATACACAACTCTAAGCAACTCTTCATGTCAAGTACTTTGGGATGTGTAAAAGTATTAGATAAGTGAATAAGCAATGTAAATGAAATATAAATTATGTAAATATAACAATATTCAAAGACTGCAAAAAATGTAGATGATTAATAGACCATAATGGCTTTTTAGAAACTTTAAACTAGAGAAACTTTAGCTACTCCGCATTGTCAGAACTCCACAGAAGTCAATGAAGGTATTCTAATTTAGAGCAGCTGAGGATCTGGACACTTACATCCTACAGTGTCCAGCAAATCCTCCTCTGTATTTAATTCTATGCTATAAAGTTATAGCATGTATCAGATCCTTAAGAGCCTTTATGGTCTAAAGAGTCAGAAAAGATGCTGTATACTAGTCTTAATGATTTCAAAACTTGCATAAATTGTACTTGCACAATTTCCCATTGCTTTTAATGGAAGACATTTGACTAAGCTTTCCACAACTTTATACAAAACACTGGATACTCTTCTGTAAATCCTTTTCTGCTAATCTAATTGGGAGAAATATTGCATAGTTTTATTTAATTCTGTAACCTTTCCTCACTCCTTGCCACAATGGGAGTATTGCCTGAGTGGAGGTTGTCAGAGGACTCAAAAGGTTTTAAAATTCATAAATTTCAGAAGAAAGCCTGTTTAGAAGGCTTTAAATGGCAGGGAAAAAACGGTTAGTGGTCCCTTAGCAGTTGTTTCAGCAATCTCTGAAAGCAGAACTCCTGAACCCAGGAGGTAGTTCTCACTGCAAACCTGTGTACCCAGAAAGTTTCCACTTAACTGTATCATACATCTCTGTCAGTATCTCTTCCAGGAGTATTTGGAAGATAATGTGTGAGTGGAGAACAAATGATATAAGCAATTGTCTTAAAGCTTCCTCTCTCAACAACTACCAGAATGTTTCCTATGTTTGTTAAAGTAAGGAAGGAATATGTTTTTCTTTCTTCCTTTATTAAAAAAGCGTAGAACGATCCACTCCACAAAGCTTCTTGGTCCAAACTACCACAATATTTAGTCCCTGGCTGGTGTTTGGACCCATTATCAATTCAGCCTGCAGCTTCCAAGAGATAGGATGGTTCAAAGAAACTAGCATTTACTGAAATAGGAAGTCCATACTTTTGTTACTGTCAGAAATGATACAGTCTTTTTGGAGACAGCAGATCTATATGCATAAATGCTTTCCCAGGCATACATAGACTGGAAGGGCTGGACAACACCAGAGTTAAAAAGCTCTTCAAAAATTAATATTGGTTTGCCATGTTTTCTGTGGTTTTATTAGAGACATATATTCAAAGGGAAATGTACCTACAATAGGTCATATGCGAACAACATTTAGCACAACATCCGCATGGCTATGCAGTAATACACTAACTAAATAGTCTTCCCCAAATACCCGAAGTTACTACAGCACTCACTGGACCATATATTTGTGTTTAAAACAAATAAAACTTCACTAAAATACATTGCAGAAGAGTGTTTGACATCAGTAATTTCCATGCTTTTCTAAAAGACTGGTCATTGCTTTTCTTTAAGGCTTGTAAAAAAAGATCAAAACCTTTCTTGGACCAAGATGTTGTCTGCCTACCTGAACGTCACAGGCAGATCTTAGGGTATCACTCTTTCAAAACAGGGATTTATAAAAAGGAGGAAAATGCGCACCATCTCACTTGTCGAAAGGAAACCAAATATTTTTACAACAAATATAAGATGAACTCAGTCCCTGCTTAGCCTCTCCCAAGAAATACCACGTCTTCAACTTCCACTAAAGTCAATGGGAATCAGGGATGTTCAATGAGTCTCAGGAGGTATTGAACACTTTATACAACAGGGCCCTACATGTACAGATGTAGACACGTTGAAGAGGGGTGTGGTAATATAAACACACCATCACCATGATAATCCCATAAATTAAAAGGCATTCTAAAGGTAACGTTTAGTCTGTTCTTTTTTTGTTCTTTTTTTTTTTTTTCTTTTCTTTTATATTGAATTATGGTCAAGGCAGCACCTTAACTGTTTCCACAATGGAATGAAACCAGTGAAGTGGAATGCACATAAGAAAGAAATTGCTATTGATCTCAGCCCAGGCCACACCATGCCTTGCATAGCAAATGGTTTCCATTACCTTACTATCTTAAGATAATTAATGTGCAGTCACTGCCCCTATCTTATGTTATCGGTCATTCTGATACTGTTCAATTTCTATCAGGCAATTCTACATTTTAGATGGGAGAGGCTTCATCAATAACTGTCATTGATGATAATTTTATAAATCACGATGCCACCTACCCAATCCAATCTGTAAAATATGCACTTCATATCTGATTGACTACCTGCTACACAAAACCCCACTCTCCGATATAGTTTGCAACGTAATTCTCTTCATTGTTTTTTAATTATTACTGTAAAATATATTAAAAACTTGAGAAAAATCTTTGCCTCTTTCAACATGATCTCTTATTTGTTTTGTTTCCCTGAAAAGTTATTTTTTTAATTTCGCCAAATGATATTCACTGAAATACTGTACATACTTCTAACACTGCAGAATAATTTTTTTATTTTATAACCACAGCAGGATGCTATTTTACCGTCATGCCATACTACTACAATTTAAATAAAGTTCCCATTTTGTGGAATGAATAATTTCATTTCAGAATTCTATGCAAAACTTAACGTTAGCTCACACTTTCTCATGACATAACATACGGTATATAGAAATATTACCTTTACCATAATATGGCTTTTTGACATGGCCGTCACTGGGTTTAGGCTTCCTGTCATCTCCAGAAAGGTGTCTTGGAGACTGTTCCTCAAATGATCTCATATTATCCCTCCTTCCAGCTTCCACTGCCATTTTTTCTCTCATGGCTTTTGCTCTCTCAGTTTCCAAAGCAATTGCTTTCTCAAGCAGGGTTAAGTTACCTTTTGTCATATCAAACACTTCTTCAGACCTATCTGAAGTAATAGAGGTGGTATCATCGTCTCTTTCATGACAACCATCCTCCTTTGCACAGCTAGAAAAAGTCCTAGATCTGGGGCTCAACTGTTCTTCAAGCCTCATTAGGTTCATCATATCAGAGTAATTCCGGTCTGGTGTTCTTCCTTGGAAGTCATCTTCTTGCCTGACATGCTGACGAGTGTTCATGTTTTGCTGTTGATTTCTTTCCTGTGGGTTTGTCTCACTGAGTTTCCTAGCCAGATCAAAACACTGGTTCCTTAAGCACTCCAAACTGCTGAGACACACCTCTTCATCACTCTCCTCCACCATTTTTTCCGTAAGTCCATTGTTCACAGGCTTCCCTAGCATTACAAAGTTCATATTCCTATTATCTTGCTGTGAAGTATTGTCTGCATAATTTCTGTCATTAATGTTTTCTGAAAGCACTACACCATGTCCTTGTGCTAGTAATTTAAGGGAGTCCACTGTTTCCCTAACAACATCACTGTCTAAATCTAAACTCAGCTCACTTTTCCGACCAATATTTTCATTTTTGTCACTATCATCTTCCAGACTATTAGATGTATTGCTGTTCATTTCTGATTCTGTCCTGGCTCTGTATGCTGCATCCTCTGCAATTTTGCCAAGATTTAACAATGACTTGGCCACCAGTTCATCGTAATTATCATACTCATCATTATTGTTATCGTCTTTTTCTGTGTCTTGCATTATTCGAGTATTGTGACAATTCATTTGATGGTCTTCTGCATAAAAAACAGAAACAAAGAAAGAAACAAAGAAAGAAAGAAAAAGGAAAAGAAAAGAAAAAAGTGGCTACAATTGGAACTGTTGTTGCAATTGCACGGACAGAAAACAAACTGCATGTCAAATATTGTTAATCATACAGCAATTCTATAACACTAAGGCCCATGTGAAGTGAATTTCTCTATAGTCCATATGGCTATTTTTGTTTATTTGCTATTCACATGAATTCCTTTCACAGAACCGATAAGAAAAAGGCAATCAAAATGCTAATTACTGCTACTGCTAAATATTATGGCATAAATTCTTATGTTTCTCCTTTCACGTCTATATTTACAGTTTTATGGGGTTTATTACAATCATATTACCAATATGACAAAATTGCCTAGATTTCCAACTTTTCTCACTCCTGTATTTCCTGTAAATATGGTAGATGGCAAAGGAGTGAGTACTACTGGGTTTATTCTCCTACTGATGAACACCATTCACCAGAAGAGAAAGAATATACACCAAGCAGGAAACTGTCACTTTTTTAACACCATACACACCATTAACACTAGATAACCAATAACTGTACGCAAAGATCAAAATGGCATTTTACTTAGTGGATCCATTAGTAGAAATCAAAATCTCTCGGTTTAACTATGCAAACTGTGGAGAAGTAAGAATTTTAAAAGAGCTGTTACATGAAAGGAAGATAGAAGCAATTATATGCACAATATAATTTGAAGTAAATATGCTAGCCCAAATTATATGGTCATACAGGTATGATAGGGCTGGTATCTACTGTCCCGTGTATTGTAACGTAATGGTGCAGAGTTACCACATTTTACTTAGCTTTGTTTTAGTAACTGCTGAATAATAGAGGGACAACTTAATAAGATGGAGCCATTGTGAGGCCCTGAAGGTGAGATTCATCTCACCTAACTTTAGACATGAGCAAGGCAGGCATCTATATCTGAGTCAGTTATTTGATGTTCCCGTTCTTAGTCAGTAAGAGAAGCAGACACTTCAAGGATACAGTCCACCTGATCTGGTTAAGATAGAATAAAATTAATAACTATTAGAAGTGCCTGTTTCTCTTCATTGACAACAAAGGAACTCAGATTAGATGCCTACCTTAAAGATATCCACATTTGGTCAGATGAATATCATCCAGTGAGCATTTTCTGATATCTCGTGTTCACTCAGAAGTTATGTCATTCTTAGACCCATTCTTAAAACACATTAAAAAACATTCATCATTATTTACTAATGAACGTCTCATAAATTATATTTTGATAATCAGCTACTCAAGCAATATTTAAATGTTTTGCCTCACAACTGGAAAAGAAAGTTCCTAAATCTGTCATTACATTGATGTGCTAGGCCAGTTTTTCAGCTGGTGCAAATTGAAAGAAACGAGTAGAGCTAGGACAATTAACACCTGCTCAAGAGCTAGTCCATCAACTTCTGATAGCATCTTTTCAGCTCAGATGTATTTTCAATGCTGGTACACCTAAACACATAGCATCTTCTAAAGTGTGACTTTTATGTTTTGGGTTAAACAAACCGAAGTGGGAATTTTCAGGTAGTAGGTGGCTTGTACACTAAAATTTTGATGATAGGAAATCATTTTTGATAAAAATAATTTTTATGTCAGTGGACAAGATAATAAATCAGAGTTTTAAATACAAAGCTCAACAGCACAATAATTAATATTTCAGCCACAAGATAGTATGCCTTCTACACAGTGGTTAGGGATCCTGGGATGATAGTAGGCTGTAGTTAAGCAGCAGAACTGGTAGATGACTAGGCTACACCTAGGTGAAAAAAATGCTCTAAAGGTAAAATATTGTATAACATATATTATCTACTTTAACACAGTGCAAAGATAATTAATAGGGATGGAGGTATGGTATTTTTGCAAGACAAGATATTCCAAGTCAATAGTGGGTTACCTATTTATCATCAAAGCTAGTTTTATTTTAGTTGCTGTTGTTCTCAAGATAATCATAATTCATATTTACGTTTCAGTCCCTCAAAAATTAAGTATATTAGAGTAGCAGATTTTCAGTGTAAAATTAAGGGATGCCACTTACACTTCCTATTTGAAAAATTTCCATCTTGAATGACTGCATAGAAGTAGGCAGTTAAGGATTACTGGATAATTAGTTTGTGCTATTTGAAAAGCAAATGTTTTAATACACTAATAATAATTTTCTAAAGTGAAATGTACAAACAAATCCCACATTAATTTAAATATTAAGGATAAAACCTGATGCCAAGAAACCTGTTCAGTAGAAACTGCTACTTTTGTGAGGTGCTTCTTGTAACTATGTCTGATGGGCAGTCAAATGTAGCAGAAGGAACATCAAAGTAATTAAAGAAGCAGTGAGCTATAGCTCCAAATTGCCAGTGCCTTCAAGTTTAGGATGAGATATCTACAAACATTGGTGAAATCAATCCAAATCTAGCCCTAACAGGATACTGAAATAAAGAGTAGGAAAAAAACATATTTTCTCAAGCCATCCAGAGAACTGTTCAGGTATGCAGTGACTATTCTAGGCCAGCTTTTGAAATGTGAAAAGTTTCAGGGCTTGTTTTTTAAAACGGGGGTTTTGTGTTTGGTTTTACATGAATGAGAGTCATGTAGATGATCACCAATGGGAGGAATATGTTATACTTTGCCTCCACAACAGTGAAAAGTCAAAATATGAATCACGTACTGTATGAGTGAAGACATGTAAATTCCTTTTGAGTAGCCGAAGCTGGGTGAAAGCTGTAACTATAATATTTTTTATTCTGTTTGTTTGGTTATATCCTTTTCAGTTCTCCTGCCCGTTCAATCCTAAAAAGAAGAAGAAAAAAATGTGGTGGAGGAGAAGAAAGTGTAAAGCGTGAGTTCCAGATGTGAGAGACAGGAAAACAAAATATTTTAATCAAGTTTTGTTCCTCCTCTTTTAATTTTTGGCCTTTTCTTGCATCTACTTTCTTTAACTATTTTGCTTATGTTTCTTATCTCCATGCAGCAGTTAATTTTAATGAAAAGGATATTTATGTATACAATGTCATCTCCTCAGTAACAGTCTGTTGGATGCGGAGCCTGCTCTAGTGAAGCACCTGTGTCACCTGATTATTAAACTGAAATTTTAAGAAGTACTGAATTAGTTTGTGTACTAGTTAAGGGTCTTCTGGAAAGTATGTTAGCCTAGCAGCAATATGTGAACCTGTGTGCCTTTTCTTTGATTCAGCTCTGTAAAATCTAATCTTGCTTTCATTTCACATTTCTATGATTACTAAGATTTAACTTTTAACTTGGTAACTACCTTTACACTGTGCTGTTTAATGGCTGTTTGTTAAATGATTGCAAAGCATATAGGACTAAAACACCTACTCTACCCCTTACATAAGTTTTGTAACCATTGATCCAAATTGCAGTTTTTTATTTGGCGAAGAGGCTGAGTTTGTCTCAGAAAGACACAGGTTAGACAGTTTAGGTGAAGAGCAGACAAAGTTATCATATGTCCTTTTTCTGTTAGCTTTAGGGTTGCATGGACAAGGAATATGCAACACAGTTAAAAAAGAATATCAGATTATTTTAGCCCTCATCCACACAATACTATGACAATTTACATATTCTTGATTGCAAAATTTGTTCTTTTTAACTCCCAGCAGACATAATAAATGTCAGGAGGGAAATTATAGTGAAGAGTATGTGGAATAGCTATAAAGAGCTGGAAGCCTTTAGCCATCTCAACAGAAGTGCACTCTTGCATTGCGCTAAAAAAAGTGAATAATTTGATTTCTTATTGCACCTTTCATCCAAGGATCTCAAAGCACTTTACAAACATTATTTTTAAAAGCCTCACAACACCCCTGTGAGGTAGGTATTTTAATCCCATTTTACAGATGGGAAATTGAGACACAGAGAAGTTGAGTGACTCTTTCCATGTCATACCAGGAGTCACTGGAGAATAAGGACTACAGCCTCTACGTCCTTCTTTGTTTCCTCCCTTTGTTCCTATCACATCCATATTTAAACATTTTTTTTGGCAGAAGAAATGACTTGCTGTTTTTAGTGTTGGGAGTCATGCAAAACAGCACCTTCTTTTTGAAAAGGAAAATATACAGCATTTAGTTTGAGAGATTCTGCAGAGAGAGGCAATGATACTTCAGTAATAGCAGCTACATTCCTACCAAAGGCCAAAAACTTCAGAAACAAGACTTTCCAAATCTGTGGTCCGTGTATCAAATTACGTGTTATTATGCTTCTGCCTATGTCAGACCTGCATGAATAGCATCCTAATCTACAAATATTCACATAAAGTATTTGCAGAATAGACATGTTCTTACTTGGGTTATTCCTATTAATATCATAGAATCAGGCAGGAATTTAGATTAAGAGAGAGCGCATCAGATAATCCAGAAGAATGGGGATGCAACGTATTTATAAAATGATGTCAATTGTTATTCATCCATGTTTTCCCCGCTAAGTCCCTACGAGCTACCTGTATCCGTACAGTTTTGGAAAAGAATCTGAAGATGTCTGACAGATCCTTTGGCAAGATCATGACTGTGGTAATTTTGCTTCAAGTGACAGACTGCAACAGCTTCTTAAAAATTATCTAGCTTCTGACTCAAGCCGATATGTTCTGTTTAAGATTTTGTCTTTTCACCACGAGGTGCTGCTCACCTTTCTTTGACCTTAGAGCATCTCACACACCATCTCACATTGCACTGGTGCCACGGAATCATGGAGTAGCTGAGGCTGGAAGGGGCCTCTGGAGGCTGTATTTGGTCCAACCCTTGCTCAAAAAAAAGTGCCAGCTTAGAGCACATTGTCAGGGCCCTGTCCTGTCAATCCAGTTTTCAATATCTTCCAGGATGGAGAAACCACAGCATCTCTGGGAAATCTGTTCCAGTGTTTGACTACCGCCATAGTGAAAAATTCCTCATTTCTAAATGGAATTTCTTTTGTTACAACTTGTGTCTGTTGCCTCCTATTCTGTCACTGCACACC